TCCCGCCGTGGCGGCGGGGGCGCGCCCGCAAGGCCTTTTCTGTGCGAAGATGGCTTTCCATCGGGTTGGGAGAGCGGAGGAGGGCAGGCGAGTTGTGCCGCGCGGACGGGGAACCTCAGGGACTCTCACCCTGGAGAGATTTGGGAGGGGAAATAAAAGCTTTCTAGCACTGTTCTTAATTTATTCACTGTTTTAAAGATGCACGTAAGCCCTGGATAAGACTTCTCCCACGCCTCTCCTGGGTGTGGTGGAACACACCTGTGTAAGGGCAGACTGCCAGGTCAGGCTTGAACTGTTCGGCACTCCCCCGATTAACAAGAGAAGCCTGTTTAGCTGTTGTAAAGAGCAGAAGGTATGGGTTGTTCATAATGAGATACTCTTTGGTTTGGGGTTTTTTTTTTGGTTGATTAGGTTTTTTGGCAAGAGGCTTTGCTTAGAATTGAGGCTAGGAGTTGCCAGGGTTTCTTTACTGATCCTTGTTTTGGTGGCTGATGGGGCTCTGTCAGGCTTAAGTATCTCTAAAATTTCCTGAGTGTTTCTTCAATTGGTAGCAAATTAATGAAAGCTGTGTTGTAGGAAGTAACAAGTTAAGCCTCTGGATTATCATTTGAGGAGCCGTCACTTTTACTTTACGTTCATTTTGTCACTGCTTGCTTTTTTTTTTTTTTTTTTTACCACCTCAGGAAGACTGCAACTTCATGCCTAAGACTGGACCACCGAGTATCTTGAAAAAATTAAGACTTGATGTTTTAATTCTAGAATTTTGGTAATTGGTTTGGACTGAGACTTGTCATTACTGATTTTTGTTTCATTGGCTATCGGTGATGTGTGGTACAAAACAAAAATGAGAAACACTGGTGCTCACGTATTGATGATCTGTGGTACTTGATGGCCTCTAATTTGCAAAAGTACATGGCTGTGGGAGACTCGTTATGGGACTTGAAACCACAGTTGCATAGTAGTTAAATAATGACACTATTGGTGTGTTTTGACGACTGTTCTTTGTGTATGAATGCTTCTTCTACAGCTGCAGGGAAGTCAACATTTGTGAATATTCTCAAACAAGCTGATGAGGAATGGGAAGTTGTTCCTGAGCCTGTAGCTAGATGGTGCAATATTCAGCAAAACTCTGAAGAGGATTGCGAGGTAGGGTCAAAGGAAGTAAGGTAAAACTTTTAAGAAACAAAATCAAACCCAAATGTTCTTTTAATTTCAGACGACCAATATATCTGATAGACTAGGTCTTTTAGAAAATGTGTGTGACAGCAACGTGTTTGCTCATTCTTATCAGTGTTTGAGTTCCTGTTTTCCAGTTTGCTTGGGATATTATAGAATAAATGTTATTCAACATCAGGACGTAAATGATAAAAATGGTAGAGGTCTATGCTATTTTACATATAAAAGCAAGGGATGAAAAAAAAGCAGACAAAAGTTACTTTTAGCAACTGCAAACTAATGAGGTGAGAGCAGAGGGGTGCTCAGGGTCCTGGAGGGTGTCCTCTAAAATGTCTGTGAAATAACAGTATGCTTATAGTGTTGGGTTTTTCTGTCAGCTACCTGTAATTCTGTTGGCAAGCCAGCTGCTACCTAGTGGCCAAAGTCACTGCTTTTGGTGAGCCATAGAATAGTTTTCTTTTTTAGATCTGGTAAGAAGTACAATGTATTTTGGTTAACTAGATATAAACCTCTAATGGGGGTTTGTTTCGAACTCTCATTTTTTAGTTTGTTTCTTCATGATACTGAAGTAAATCCAAATACAAAAGCAGACTGAAGCCCTTCCTTTTAAGAACTGAGCAAACAATCTAGTTTAATAGACTTGAACTTCAAGTTAAAGGTTGGATTTTTTACTTTAGTGTGGTAGATTGACCCCAGCCAGCAGCTAAGGACCCCCGCAAACACCAGCTCCCTGCCAGCAGAGAAGAGAATAGGAAACAAAAAGGCAAGACCGTTTATGGGTTGATGTAAAGACAGTTCAGTGAGCAAAGGGAAGAGGCTTAGCAAGGAGTGATGCCAAGGTGCTGCTTATCTCCTAGAGGCAGACCAGTGCCCCGCCAGTCTCTGAGCAACAGCCCCCCTGGCAGACAAACCCTTCTGCCTTGGGCAGGCAGGTCAGCCAGACTGGCTGTGTCCCTCCAAGCTTCGTGCCCACCCCGGCCTGCTTGCTGGGGGCAAGTGGGAAAGGGAGAAAGCCTTGATGCTGTGCGAGCACTGGTCAGCAACAGCCAAAACACTGGTGTGTTAGTAACGCTCGTTCAGCCACAAACACAAAATGTGTCACTGTATGGGTTGCCATGAAGAAAGTAAACTCCATCCCAGTTGGGTCCAGTAAGCTTAACATAAAATTTCAAATCCGCCATAGTCATCCCTGAAGTTTGGCTTACTAATTCACTCTTTTCTCCTTTTGCTTTGGCTGCTCTGTAGAAATACGGCGCTATATATGACTTCTAAAGTGAGTCAGGAAACACTTCAAAAAAGGTTCCTAGAGACAAGGCTGTACTCGAGGAGTTAAGCTGTTTGTGCAGGTGTCTGTGGGTGTCTCCTAGTCCTGTGTGCATTGTCAGTCGGTTGTGTGCTTGCTGTTGGCTAACGCACACAGTAAGGGCAGCGGCTGGCCTAAAAAAAGTACTGCGCTGTGTGGTCCTTCTGCTTGACTGTGGAGTAGGGGGCCATATGCTGGGTAGCAGAACCAGGCCGTGTCCCCTGTCCCTTGCAGGCTTGTGTCCCGTGCCAGCTAGGACCCTTCCGAGCAGTTCCCAGGCACGCTTTGGGCAGTAGGATAGCCCGGGGACTGCCGAAAGTGCACTGCAGGCAGCCGCCTCCTTTCAGAGGCTTTGAAAGTTGAGTGCTGTGGGTGTTGGTCTTGTGTGCCACTCGGCCGTGTGGTGCTGGGTACGGTTGGGTTACTGGCATAGGTACAGTTAGGTCACCTCCATCAGCAGCTGTTACCGCAGGAACTGGAATTAATAAATGGAAAACCAAACCAAGCCCAACTTTAAACTCCCACTTGTCAAGGGAGCACAGATTTTTCTACGATGATGTTGTTAATTTTTTTGCACTGATGGGACGTTGTTCTTTTAATAGAGCTTGTAAATAGCGATCAAAGTCTTTTGGTACTTGAGCATTTTGACATTGTAGACTGCAGAGTTGCTTATTCGGCTTGGTGCCATAGGAGGAGTAATGTTACTGGCATTCATGCCTTGTATTACAAATAGGGTTGAGAGGTAAACGATGCAGTTGTAAACCTGAAATAAAGGCTGAACAGCTTTAATGTAGTAGAGCAGTTCTGTCTTGCCTTAATCGTGCACCTTCTCACCGTAAAAGGGTCACTGTATTTGTTTCAAACCAGGAGCTGACTGAATCACAGAAGAGTGGCGGGAATGTGCTTCGGATGATGTACGAGAAACCAGAGAGGTGGTCTTTCACTTTCCAGACATATGCATGTCTCAGCAGGATCCGGGCTCAGCTCAGATCCCTTGATGGCAAACTCAGAGCGGCAGAGAATCCCGTGGTCTTCTTCGAGCGATCTGTCTACAGCGACAGGTACGTTGGCCTGAAGTCCTTACAGTGAAGAGCAGAATTCGCCTCGGCAAAACATGTAATTAAAGAACAAGCAGAGCGTGGCTGAGTTTTGTACCTCCTTTCGTCCTAATTTTGGTGTTGGTGAATCTCAATAACCTCAGTAATTGGCATGTTGTCTTTTTCTCATGGCTGTTGACAGGGAAGTAAAATTACCGGTTTGAGGGGTTACAGTTTTGTCACCGTGGTGAGCTACATGTAGTTTCTTATTCTTGCGGGTAGGTCTTTTATCATTTGTGCATGCACGTTTCCCTTCAAACGAAAGAGGGGAGTCGGCATCAAGAAGAGTCAAGAGCAATTTCTTTCTTTGTTGCTTAGTCTTCTTTTCCTTTGTGCTTCTTGAAACAGGTGTAGATATTTCAGATTGCCGTCCCCTCTGTTTTTGGATTCCGAAGGTTTGGTAACTAAATCCCGTCACAAATCCTTAAGTGTCGGCTGTGTTCTACTGTTCTGCAAATAAATGACCACAGTGTACAAAGCAGTGGTGGTTTGTAGGTTATTCCTGAAGAGACACCTGAGCTGCAGATGGGACTGCTTTTTGTGGACTCTGCTGTGGGCAGCTGCAGCGGACACAGTTACAGGATGGGGGTGCCAGCTGTGTATCTCCAGTCCAAGCATACATCCGAGAAGTTACAGAATTACTACACTCAGCTTCTTTTCCTACTTCAGGCAAACAAAGCAGTAACTGTGTTCAAGCTAATTTTGGTGTACGTGACCGTTCTGTTTTCACAGATACATCTTTGCAGCGAACTTGTACGAGTCTGACTGCATGAATGAAACCGAATGGACTATTTACCAAGACTGGCATGACTGGATGAATAAGCAGTTTGGTCAAAGCCTGGTGCTGGATGGGATCATTTATCTCCGAGCCACTCCCGAGGTGAGGAACAAAAATTTGTGACCGCACAGAGGATAGCGCATGTTCTATGCCTTGCCTGTAACATTTGATCTGGACCTTTTCTATGATAAAAGAATATTACGCTTGCAGTCAGCTCCAGTAAGGTCACAGCTGCATGTCATTGCCTATCACCATATCTTTGTTTTAGAGATTGCTTTGAACGTCTTTGGCAAGGAAACAGTTGAGAAATTCTCCTTGAAATGTAATGTTCTCAAAATCTTGAGCTGCCCTTTTCTTTGACTGTAAGAGTCCTAACGATGAGAGTTCAGCTCAGATTGTAGTATTCCCCTGAAGACTGCAATACTTGAGTTATGACTAATACAGTCTGGAAACACTTTAAAAAAAAAAAAAGTTCTTTCAAATGTAGCCTGTGTATTTTTAAACAAAATGTGATGATAACGATTTTCTAATTATAAAAACAGAATGTGTGACAAGAGCAAACCAGAAAATACCACTGAAACTGGGGGCAAAAAAAAAAAGTACAAAAAAGCTATAGGAATGTTGCTGTGACAAACAATTTATAGTTTGTCACAGCTGATTTGGGGCTGCACGGGCAGCCCTTTCACCTGGAGCAGGGCGCTAAGCCAGATGAATGCACCTACAGTAGGTGCATCTTTATGACAAGGTTTTGATCTTAGGGCATCTAATACTGTTTAAAAGGAGAGAACAACATAATGAAGGTGTCTTCTGAGCATGGAACTGAGATGAACAAGAGAAAACCAGGAGAGTTTAGAAGAGCTCTAATTGCAGTCATTAGCTTCACAGGTCACTTCCGTCCTTCCTTGCTTTCAGCTTTGTTATTGTTGTAAACAACTGTGTGATGTAACATGGTGCAGTTTCTCTGAGGGCTTTTTTTTCCCTCTTTAAGTCAAGAACGTGTATTCAAATTACAAAGTACAACAGTTTGAAACAGTTTTGATTGGCTTCTGATTGAGGCTTTGGATGTGTTGGGGACAGGAACAAATGATTTACTGGTTTTGGAAACTGGGTTGCTAAGAGCCAGAAATGCATCGTGAGATTTTTGAAATGCATGTCCATAATGTTAAATGGGTATTTCTGTGCTCTTCTGATGCAAAGCACTGGTACCCCCTCTTTTAATAAAGAGCTGATTTGAGACCTTTTCTTGTAGAGGGGAAATAACGGGATGCATTTTCTTGGGTCCTTTGATTTTGTGTGTCATCTGTGGGCTCCGCGAGCTGAACATGGCATAACATTTCTGGGGTCGTGTGGTAGTTAGCAAGTTGAATATTGGCATATTCAGCACACTAGGAAGGGTTGACAAAAAAAACTTCATCAAAGCAACCAATTTTATTTTTTTTAATATCTTTTGCCATTAGAAATGCTTAAATAGGATTTACTTGCGTGGAAGAGATGAAGAGCAAGAAATTCCCATTGAATATCTGGAGAAGCTTCACTACAAACATGAAAGCTGGCTTCAGCATAGGACACTGCGGTAGGGTTGGTTTAATGGTTACTTCAAGATGGATAAAGCTTTGTTGTGAGGATATTCTGTAATGCTTTTTCCACCAGTGAAACTTGTACTTTTCCTAAGATGTGTAAAGTTCAACTCCCGGAATGTTTCTGTCTGTAGTTGCTTAGCGGTACTGGCTTTGCAGCGTGTTAATTATTGCTAGGACATGCAGCGTGCCTTGAGTTCTTTTCATATAGAGCTCTGAATAGCAGAGGATTCATCTGAACTAATTTTAATAGGCAGCTGAATTCAGTGTTGGGTGCTGGGGGAACAGAATGTTCAAGAATCGATAATATATCTTAGGAGCCACACTGTAAATTCAAGCTTCTTTATATTCAGAATTAATGGCTGTAAATTAGATGTGCAGTTCTTCTCACAGGATTCTTCACAATGAAAATGCTGACAGACTCGAATGATGTATACTTTTTTTCAGCTACTAATATTTTCTTTGTTCCTATCCCAATACAGAACGGATTTTGAGTATCTACAGGAAATACCTATTTTAACCTTAGATGTTAATGAGGACTTCAAAGGCAAGAAGGACAGATACGATCACATGACTGAAAAGGTAAAATTTCACAAGTGGAACGAACTGATGATTTAGGTTTATTGCCAGCATGTCAAAATGAATTCAGGATACTTCTTGCATCTTGCAGTGTAGCATTCTTTGAAGTCAGACTAGACTTAGAACCTGTCGTTCTTCATGTTATTTCCTACATAAATTTTCCATTTAAAAAAAAGGGGGGCTTATTTTGAGAAGACATTCTCTAGTAGCTTTGTCTGCAAATACAATTTCTAAATTAAATAACCTTCAAGTGTTTGAAAGAACTGTTATTTGCTACATCCTCCTTTTGGCGTTGTGCAGGTATCCTAAGAAATGTGATGGGGGTGTGAGGGGATGAGGGTAGCTGTTGCAGGAGAGAGGAAAAAGGCAACACAGGTCCGAGCTGGATGCCTGGGGGTGAAGTCTTGTACTAGTTGTGGAAGTGTCTAACCTACAGTGCTGGTCAATAAAAGAACTTTGGTGCCAGGTGCTCTGAAAATACAGGACAAAACCATTCCAATGGAAAACTGCAGGATGAGTTTATGGAACCTGCAGCAGAGTTTTGACCGAAAGCAGTGAGCCAATGGCGAACTTGTAGTTTTTACAGATATTTCTAGTGCAACAAAATAGAGTATGGGCTATCCTCTCTGCTGATTAGCGGGTGGCAGCAAAGGGCAGTACAGCTAATGCAAATAGGGATCCTTTGCTCTAAAAATAAAAATGTACTTCACTGTATAATCATCCTTCTAAAATATTTAAGTCATGGTGTTACATTCAGATAGCGAACAGTCTTACAGCCTGCTGCAATGCTCTTGAATTTTAGTCTTTTTTAATTAAATTGGCACTATCATTAAAGTTTTTCCCTTCAGTTTTGTTTATTAAAGTGTTAGTCAAAATCCTTCTCACAAGCAGTGGTCTGAAGTTTCAGGGAGTATTTCTCAAACATAGCATTCCACTTTGTTTAGGAAGTAATGCAGAATATAAATTGCAAGTATTTTTTAATTTTATTTGAAGGCATGGAAAAAATAATGTCTATTTGATGCAAAAAGAATTCAAGTTGACATTTCTCTTTGCATTAAGATGATCTAATCCTTAGCACAAAAAGGTGTAATATATATATTAAAGCTAGGCCAAACCATCAGCATTTTAACTCCTCAGGTGTTTGATATTTGAACCGTGATAGGATTCAGCTGGGAACAACTTGGCTTTTATTAGGGCAGTTGCAACGAGTTACAGACCTTAGCAATGGTATGTGCGTGTTTTTTGGCTTTTCAGAAATAAATTGTTTACCTCATGCGAAAAGCAGCTTTGTCCTTTGATCTCAGTTTATCCATGGAGAAGTAGAACTGTTCACCTGATTAAAACCAGCCTTCACGGTATTTGCGCTTTTAAAGCTTGTTAATTGATGGAATGACTGGACATGGCAGCTGTGGAGTGAATATGCTTCCCTTCTGTGCTGTGAGATAAGGCCAAGCTCAGGCACCTAAACAGGGATTTCAGAGGAGTTTACTCCCGCGTGGCTGTCAGGTTTTCTGGAACAGCCTAAGCTCAGTGTCGGCCTTGTTTTTTGCATTTCCTAAGTGAGGTCCCAGAGGCTCTTCGTGAGGCTGGCCGCTTTGGCCTTCAGTGTATACTTATGCCCAGTGGGGACCCAAACCCTCTGTGCTTCCTTCTCGCTTCTGGTGTGATGCTCAGTTTGAGACCTGTCCTGAAACTGCACCTGGTGTGTAAGTTGTGGTAAGGCTCATCACGCAGTATTGCTGTTGCGGCTCTCTGAAGTGGAGGGTGGCTTTCTTGTGATACCTTCCAGGTTAGGGTGTTGGCACAGCTATGTGTTCCCTTCTCTAAGTGAAGGAATTTGACCTTCCCCCCCGCCCCCTTCGAGTTGTGAACTAGGAAGGGAAGGGTCACAGCTGGAGAATGTGATCCACGATCAGTTTCCGTTTAGTATCAAGAATTTGGACAAAACATTTACAGATGTGCTCTGTGTGTGAGAGCCTCTGCCAAAAGAATAAACCATGGTCTCTAGTGAATTGTCGCTTCCTTTCTGTGCAGTGGTCTGGCTTGAGTGGACAGAGGAAAACGCTCCCAGCTCAGGTAGCATCACAGCGTAGTTGCTAGGATGCTCTTGAAACTGAGAGACAGGAGTTGTGTGCCTAGGCCCTGTATTCCTTGGGTCTTGTATCTGCTGGGTTGTTATATTTTAAGGTGGCTGGACCCTTGCTGCCACCTCTTCCTACGCTTTAAAGGGAGGGAGAAATTAGTCTCTTGCTTCTGGGGAGGGGGTGGAGGGGGCACAACAAGAAGGCACTCATACCTGTGGCAAGAAGCTCATTCTCAGCACGCTGTCTTCCTGCAAGCTTTGGTACAGACCTGAATTTAAGACGTTGTTGCAAGTGACCACGCTTACGAGTGTAACGCTAGCCCGCTGCTTGGCACGCTGCCTGTTTCGGATCCAGTTCTCGTGCAATTGCGTGGACTGTTTTGAGGGGCTGTACTGGCTCTTGGTGCTCTGTGTAGGTTTGTGGATTTCCAACTCGGGATTCTAGACAGTGTTCTGTGGGTCAGAACTTCACTGTTAGTTATTGGGTAGCTGTAGCCATTTGAGCCACTCTTCAAATACTGGAAATGGACAGTAGCTGAAATATTTCCTTGTTCTGCAGTACTGACTTTTTTCCAAGGACTACGGTTTTGCTAGGTATTGTTTTATTATTTATTTGCCAACCTGAAATACCAAGGAACATACTAACTAGATGCATTGGGTTGTTCATGGACCTGAAATATGAATGATGTTCTGGTAGTGGGTGTGACATGGTGTTGTCCACATGACGGACCTTTTGAGGAGGTCGTTATCTTCCTCGTGCTTAGGTTAGACCTGATTTTAAGATAATTCATTTGTGATGTAGGGCTGTAGTTTAGGACCACGGGAGGAATGAGCAGCATTCCAATGTGTGCGTCTCCGCACCTGCTAAATTACAGGTACCGTGGCTGAAAAAGTTCCTGATGGACAAGAAATGGCATAGCTGAGCCTAAGATTATTTTTGCCAGTTCCTGTTTCTGTAGCTCGTAGTAAAGCATAAAGCAGTGGAGAGGTAAATGTAGTTGCTGTATATTTCTGTTGATAAATACTTAGTTTGATTGATAATATTTGTTTCTTTTTGCAGGTCAAAGAATTTTTGAGCACCTTATAATCCTCTTTGAAGCGCAGGCAGAGTCAAACTGTTCCAAACATCTGTGCAATCAAAGTCTGAAGTACAGCTTCTGCTTTTACAGAAAGCCTCTGGAGAGGCAGGACTCAATCCTGTTGGTTTAATTGTGGGCAACAAAAACATTTTGTGAATAGGGAAACTATTAAATAAATCAGTAGGTCTGTTTAGTGTTCTGTTAAGTACCACACACAAATTCTGAAGATACTAGAATTCTGGGAGTTCCCAAATATTGTGCCAGTTTCTCATCAGACCGAATAAGTTCTTCTGGAGTATTTTATTGTATTTTTTAATTTATTTTGTGCCCAGTAGCTATTTAATTTTCAAGAAGGTAGTGGGTTTTTTAGATCTCTTGAGTGTTTGTTTTTTTTTAGTAGCATTGATTTGTAATGGATGTCTCGTTCTGAGGAAGAAAAAAGTAACAACCATTTGCTGGTGAGGCAATTTTAATGGAACCTGGAGTTTTATATTGTAAGGTATAAAAAACATGTCTGACAATTTTGATAGAGGAAGTTCTTCACAGAATGCACTGAATTAAAAAAAAAAATAAAAATCCAGATGTGGCAGAAATTCTGTAGATACCAAATCCGTTTTTATATCTGTTTTCATTGTGCACTGCAAACTAGGATTTTAAGCAGCTTTCTGTTCTCTAGCATGTTTGGAATTTTTTTTTTCCAACGTTTTTTTTTAAGCTCTTAGTAAAACAGAGCTGCTGTTTGTTGTTGGTGAGTCCTCTCTTCCTGGAGAGGAGTATGGTTGCTCGATGGGTACCATAAAAGGAAGAAGAGAATTTTGCAAACGGCCTCCATCTGTAAATGCCAAGTTGTTAAACCCTTCCTTAATCACGTTTTGGATGTCAGAGGTGGCTTCCTGCTTTTGTTCCAGCTTCTCCATTCGTGAACTGGGCCCTCTGGGTGCTTACACAAGATACTGCGATACTGACGTAGGCTGTCCTTTCTCATCTTGTCGTAGTAAGAAGGGGAGACCTGTGTGGAGTAGCTGCTGTTCTAGTGCATCTTTTTTTATGGACTGAGCCACATTTGTTTCAGGTGCAGAAAATATAAACTATACAGTACACACATCTCAAGTACTGTGTTTTCTGAGCTGCTTTGTTCTGCTTTAAACATTTTTGGAATGATTGCACAGTTGGCTTTTAAATGCAAGATTGTATTGTAAAGCATTTTATTGCCTATGTGGTGCTTGTGTTACTGCTAATTTGAGATGAAATTTCTTCCTGTGTGGTTGGTATTGTGCTGGTGTTCTCTAACCGCTGACTGAAAAATAAAAAGTGGATGGAAAGACTTTTTCAATGCTTAATAGTGTGGGTGCTCTTGTCTCATAAAGGAAATGTTGTTGTAGATTGCTGGTATGTAATACTAGTACAACGGATGAATTTAAGATTATCTGGTTTTAGTGTATTTGGTGCACAAGTTCTCGAAGACTTCTGAAACACCGTGACTGGCTTCAGATTGTTTTTTCATGTGTGGGAAATTATATAAAATGTGTCATATATAACTTAACTGATCAGCAGAGGTGGTTTGTATAATACTTATGTGGTAGTGGAAAGTAGCGATAGTATGGCAGAAAATCTTGTTTTGGGCTTCAGGGTTGCCAAGTATAAGGAAAGATTTTTAAATCTTTGCTCCAGAAATGAAGTGAGGTGGAGTGGATGAAGATGCAGTTCAGATTTACTTGAAACACATAGTAGAAGTCTTTAAAAAATTCTTGGCAAAAGTCTGAACAGTAACAACTTATTTTGACTAACAGTGCAATTACTCCTACAGTTTCAGCTGTCAAAATTGTGGATTTAATTACAGGAATTGGAATGACAGTGCTCATTGCAAGCAGTAAACAAGTCCGAGTTCTAATAAAGTCTTCCTTTTAAACCAGTCACAGAGCCCACAGAAATTCTGTGGCAGGCTATCTGCATCCTGTTCCAGAAAGCTTTACAAAATCTCTTGACTGCCAAGTTTGGGTTTGAAGGAGCAAAGTCATGACCAATTATTAGAATGTTTTTAATTGCTGTGGAGCAAAACCAACAACAAACCCCAAACACACGCCCCCCCGCCCCCAAGCTTCTTGGGGCTTTGAAAGCAGCTGGGCTGAAGCACATGAAGCTGCAGTTATTTGTATGTAGGACAGACGCAGCGCGAAGAGAAGCAGAGATGTCCTTAGACTGTTCTGTCCGTGCGTCGGCTTAAACCTCCCAGCTCTACCAGTGCCTCAGACTTCCACATTTGTCAGTGTTCTTTTCGTTGCTTCAGTCCGTTCCCAGGCTACCACAAAGTAGGGTGGTTGTGTTGGTTTTTTGCCTGTTAGAGGTATGGAAGGTTTCTGAACTGATACCTACTGATTGGTGATGATTTTTTTTCAGTCGTTGAGTGCTGTGTCTCTTTCTCTTCCCATGGGTAAGACATACTTTGATGGAACTGGATAGAAGTGCTTGTCTTTACAGAGTCTCCTCACGATCAGGGAAGCAAAATGGGTATGCGGGTTTTTTTTGTTTTTTTTTTTTTTCCCCAGTTAGGGTACAGTTTAAAATACTGATTGGTAGTGTTTTACACAGAGTCTCCTCACGATCGGGGAAGCAAAATGGGTATGCGGGTTTTTTTTTGTTTTTTTTTTTTCCCCAGTTAGGATACAGTTTAAAATACTGATTGGTAGTGTTTTAATTGCTGTGCAAGTACATGTGTGAGCAATGGGCATAATATTGCCTCATTTTACTTTCAGTCCTTGTAGTTTTTTTCTGTATAGTGGACTTTAAGTTCCCTTAGTACAAATGCTTCTTAGAACAGCAACCAACTTTGTAGGTAGAATTTAGTTTTCTATAATTTTGTGCCAGTTAGTTATTTCTGCAGTTTTGTGTTTATTTAAGTAGACTTCGTAATAACGGAATTGTATATAAGATGTGATTGGCATTGAGATTATTCTATTCTTTTTCCAGTAATTAAAGACTCCAGGAATCTATTAATGAAATAAAAATCATACAGGTGAAACTCACTGCAAACTTTAGACCAGAGAAGTACGTATGTAGTAATAATTAAGTTATATCTTAGGAAAAAAACGGTGTGTAACTGCTGTTGCCGAGAGGTGTCAGTGTAGCTTGGTGTAGGGGCTCCAGGGTTGTTTACCCGGCTCCCGTTTAGATTCGTGGTGTGACCGTGAGTGAACTGCTCTTTGCCTCAGTCTTTTAATCTTTAAAATATTGATATCTCCCTATGTCTTCAGTATTAACTAACTAATCCTCCCTGCCTTCTGATGTGCTATTTAGTAGGTCTGAAGTGCTCTAGTAAATAATTCAGAAGGAAGGCGGCCCTGGTTTTAGATTTTTCGCTGGGATGTTTTGATGCCCTCATGAAAGGGGGTCACTGGCCCAGATTCACGGCCAATAGAAATGATTTGTTTTAAAAGATATTACAAGCCATCAGTGCAAGGTCAGTTGTGTTCAAGTTCACTGAAAAACTCGGCCACTGAAAACTGTCGCCACTTGTGAGGCAAGGAAACTTATTACTAATTTAATCTTGAAAGAAAAATTGATGGCAAAAGCTGCGCTGCAGTCCCTGTGGCTCGTGGCAGTGGCGAAGCTATGTGCAGAATCTGCCACGCGAGGTCATCGTGTCCTCGCTTCTCTCTTGCTGAGCTGGCTGCGAGAAGAGCATTAGTGTTTTACCAGTGAATGGCTTTGGAAAAGGTAAAGGAAGAGGTCACTTCCTTGCTTTGCCAGAGCAAAAACATTACACTGATTAATAAATACTCTACTGAATGAGATAAACCTTGATCTATGGGAGGAGGGGAATAAAGCAAGCCCCCATCGGATTAAGTGAAAGACTAGAAAAGGCTGAGCTCATGGGAGGGGTTTTGACACCAGAAGGTCTTCCGTGCAGCCACCAGCTGTTTCTGTTCTGTGAGGGAATATTGGCGCATGAATAACCCTAATCCTGGGTCTGAGCGATAGCAGTCTTCTCGTGCTGAGCTCTCGGGCCTGACTGCAGCCGGGGAGCAGTCTTAATGCTGGCAGCGTGCTGGGAAAAGAAAGCAGTTAGGAATTCTGCTAACTGAAGTCACGCACAGTGCTTACTGTGCCAAATATAAACCTGACCTGGGTACGGCTCCTCTGAAATTCTGCTTCAAATCCAGGAGCGTGGATTCCATACAGGGAATAAGTGGTAAAGTGCTTTATTTTACCTTAGCTTGGTATTCAGCAGGGGTGTAAAATCAATGTAGTGCGCAGAGCTGAAGAGTCCAGGCTGCTGTGTGTAGGTGGCTTCTGTTGTAGGTCTAGGTTTCAATGCATGGGAGTAAGTAACAGGAGAGCAGCATAAATAAGGATATAGTGCATGCTAAATGAGAATTGCCCATTTCTTGGATTTCTGCTGACTGCTCTTTGCAGTGCCTTAGGCAGGGTCTATGTTACATAGAAGTAGCTCCAGAATGTCGAGGTGGTCCAGCTTGTGCCAGGTCTGTTTGCTGGCTACTAGTACGGACTGACTTAGAAAAAGGCAGTTGGTTCCTGAGAGTTATTTACAGAGATGGTGCCGCTGCAGTTCAGTTAGAGTGTGTTCCTCTGCTTTCTCCAGACTTTTCTGTCCTGCATTTTGTGCTTTTCTCTCCAATTTCTTCCTAAGTTGTTGTAACTTGTCTTTTAATACCTACTAAAAGCATGACCTCATACAAGTTGTAACAGACTTGTTAAAGCCAAGATTTCACTAGCATGCAGCCTACTTGAAGGTGTGACTTCTGCCTCTGTTCCAGTTTGGTATCTTAGGATTTCCAGTCCTCTTTTCTGAGTGATTCTCCTGTGTTAGCCCACCTGATTGCTGAGGCTCTTTTTAACTCCTGCCTTCAGTGCCGTCTATGGATGTATGCTGGCAGGGTGCGCTTTTTTTGTTTATTGTGCTCCGATTTGCCTCCACCAATTTCTTAAACCGATAGCTATTGCTCTCTGATAAGTTTCCACTGCACCTTTGGCTTTGTCCTCTGTGTGGGGCTAGCTCCTGGCCTTTACCCTGACCCTTTCAGCTGTGTACAGTGGCCTCAGGTCATCGACTGTTTGGCTGCAGCAGAGTGCTGGTCTGGATCGTCTGCTCGGGTCCTGTCTGTGCTGCGCCTCGGGAGGAGAAGACCCGCTGTCGTAGAAAGCAGGACTTGAGACTTCTTAGGTTTCTGCTCCGCTGCTTGTTTTGTGAGGGTTTATTGCAATGGTCCAGCATAGTTGGGTGGGTATTTCATGTGTGCTTGTCCTCATCAACAGTTTCTTTGTCTCTGCTCGATTACTGTCTAGGGGATAGGCATCGTGTCAAGTGACTAAAAACCTTGTTCAAGTGGGGTTTCTGTTGCACTGTGCTATGGCTGCAGTCTGACG